CTCAAGAGTGAAAGTAATTTTCATAGGTTTGAAGCATTTCCTGCTGCAACAATGATTAACTGCAGACAGTGGAGAATGTTTTCATATTAATGGTTGGCATCATTTTTATTTGACCAGAAAGTCAAATAATTCTCTGTTTTCTAGCAGGTAATGTACATTTTGGATGTCAAAATAGATGGTTTTGTCATTTTCTGCAATATATCTTTAAATATTAATAGTTGTGCAAAAGTGCTATTAGCTATAACAGCCAATTGTAATGTCTATGTAATTTTAAGTGGGTATCTGGGAAGGACAAAGAATATCTAAACATGATTGACAATATGTGCTATACCAGCAGTTTGAAATGAGCTGACAGGAGGAAATATTTATACATTCATGCAAATGTTACACATTCATCTCGCCAACCAGCACAAAAATCCACTCAGTAGCACCCCTGCAGTATTGCTCGTATAGACACCAAGCAGGTTCAATGCATTTTGTGAAAATTGTAATGTTTTCTGTTCCAAATAGCAAAGGTTATTCCACTGTATAAATCTGGTGATAAGCACAACTTCACAAATTATAGACCGGTTTCTCTGTTGTCACAATTTTCAAAAATTCTGGAAAAACTCTATGATAACAGATTAGATACATTTATTGACAAACATAAAATCCTCTCTGATTGCCAATATGGTTTTAGGTCGAACCGATCGACATCTTTGGCCATTACCGACCTGATGGAGGACATTACAAGTGCTATGGATGAGAAGAAATACACGATGGGGATATTTATTGACCTAAAAAAAAGCATTTGACACAATCAATCATGAATTATTAATGGACAAGTTAGAAAAATATGGGATCAGAGGAATGGTTCTGAAATGGATTAGAAGTTATTTGACACAGAGGCATCAATTTGTGAAGTTGGGTGAATACCAATCGAGTGAGCTGGATATTGTATGCGGAGTGCCTCAGGGTTCTGTTTTGGGACCTAAATTATTTATATTATACATTAACGATATATGCAAGGTTTCTGATTTAGTGAAAGTGGTTTTGTTTGCTGATGACACTACCATATGGGCATCGGGTGAAAACCTACAGCAACTCTCTGGACGGGTTTCACAGGAACTTGAGAAGATAAAGAAATGGTGTAATAGTAATATACTATCTCTGAATTTGGATAAAACTAAATTTATGGTATATGGGAATCGTAGACTAGATAATGAACTTCAATTGAAAATTGGGGGAGCTAATATAGAACGAGTATATGAAATTAAATTTCTAGGTGTCATAGTTGATGACAAATTCTCCTGGAAATCTCATATCAGATATATTCAACACAAAATAGCAAAAAATATATCGATATTGGCAAGGGTTAGATATATTTTGGACGGGAAAGCACTACGCATTTTGGATTCTTCATTGATTTTACCATACTTAGAGTATGGCGTTAAAAACTGGGGAAATACATACAAAAGCTCACTTCAACCATTGTATATATTACAAAAAAGAGCGATAAGAATTGTGCATAAGATGGGGTATAGGGATCACACCAATGTAGCTTTCATACAGTCTAAATTGTTAAAATGTTTTTGATTTAGTGGGATATAAGACTGCTGTGTTTATGTATAAAGCCAGGAACAATTTATTACCTGGTGGAATTCAAAAACTATTTAATGAAAGGGAAGGGGGATACAATTTAAGGGGTCAGTTAAATTTAAAAATTCATGCTATACGTACAACCAAAAAAAAGATTTTGTATTTCCATAAGTGGGGTAAAACTATGGAATAATTTAAATGCGGACATAAAAAATAGTAATAGAATTGATGAGTTTAAACATGAATATAAAGGTATGTGTCAATCAAGATATATGCAAGAACAGGTTTAATGATTAATTAGATGGAACATTGTGGGTGTGGTGTATGAATGTTAACACTCTGTTATAATTTTTTAGTATATTACTTGCGTGGTGTAGAAGATAATTATCTATGTAGAGATACTGCTTGCAAACCAATCATGGTAAGATGATGTCATGGGGTAGGACTGGATAAGTCTGACTTCTTCCTACTCCATTCAAGCATGTACTAGGTATAAGCAAATTGATATTGGATTAGCATTTGTTGGATATGTGTAAAATTATGTGTGCGGACATATCAACTGTCTTTACATGCTTGAAAGAAAAGAATAAATCAAATTAAATCAAATCAAATATTGATTTGCTTTGTTGCCTTCTTTGCAATTAGATCCTCTAGGAGAGACACAGCAACCCCTCCCCTTGCTTATGTAATACAGCATCATACCTTCACATCATCAGTGAACAGCATCCATTGTCTGAGTCCACTGCTCTCTGCTGGTTCTTTGTACTTTTTAAAACTGTTTTCTTCTTCTTCCATGCAGGCGTGTAATGGGATTCTTGTTACTTTCGGTTATCTAGCTTTATGAAGAATGTACGTCACTCATACAGCTAGATAACCAAAGATAACAGACAACCCCTCAGGCCTGCCAACACAGATCCCTGACACCAGCACACACACAATCTCCAATACACCTGTGAGGATAAAGAATGATGGAAAAATACTTAAAGGGCTAATTCACCTACAAGCTAATTTACTGTAGTGTTCTGCAGAGTTGGAAATAATGATAATAATAATCATATATCTGGACTGTTAGTGCAGATGATTTATCATATGGTGTTAAAAACGCCTCAGTGAAATGAGATGAAAAACAAGCATGACTAAAGATTCACAGGGGAAGATATTTTCCAAGCTATTAAGTGTTTTTATATGACAGAAATGTGAACGGATTCTTATAGGAATTCAAAAGAAATTATTACAGTCGACTATACAGTGAACTAAAAACAACAACAATAAAGATCTTTATGGGAGGATCTGAAGCTGGAGATAAAATAGCACTGAGGGGAATAATTTACACATACTCCTGTAAAGAAAATATTATACCAGCATGTAAAGGGAAATCCCCTGAAAATGTTTAGCATATGCATTCATTTTGCACTAGGTAATTACTATATGATGTATATACAGGCGTTCAGTCTGTTTTAAAGTCCCATCTGGAATTACTGTAATTATGCAGGTGCAAACAGATACAGCTCTGTATTCACCCTGAACATTATTTGAATATTATTAACAAACCTTCATTGCCTCAAAATATTCACTGGTCACATATTGTTGAAAATCTGAGAAAAATATGTTTAATCCAGTTCAGATGCAGCTGGAAAAAAGCTAAATGGGTAACTCACAGTGACCAGACTCGTATCGTCACCCAACACGGATGCAATTAGAAAACGTTTATAATAGACCAAAACATTTGTAGCAGTTATTGTACTTAAGTTTCTTTTATTAATCAAATGTATCTTATGAATCAATATTTTTATAACCTGGTCATTTTTATTTCATATTTATTTGGTGTTAGGAAATATTTATATTGGATATGTTCACATATTTGTTTGTTTAGATATAAGTTTAGTAATGAGCTAAGTTAAATACATTGTTTTGCGCGTGTTTTCCCTCGCTATTCTCTATTATCTTTTTCCCCATAAACTGCTTTACATAATGGCTTTTGGCGAGAGAGGGAGAGAGATGGAAATGACGTCACAGGCATGGCTGGCTTTCAATTAATGCATTAGCAGCGAGGTGTGATGTCTAATTAACGCACACACGCACATCCTCAAACATTCCATTATGAACAGGACGCTCTGTCTCTTGCAATAACGTGAAATTAGAGTTGTGGCTGCAGGTTGTTTGCAGAATGCCTCTAAAAACACGGACAATGCATACAAAGACACTACTGCCTACACATAGGCTAAGTGTTTTTTACAACAGCTTCCTGAAAGGTCCTCCGTTAATCAGAGAAGGATGAATTATACGGCCTGGATTTTTACTAAAAAAACATCCATTATCGGACATCCATTCGATGTTTAACGTCCGCAAGCCGTGACAGTCACAAGGTTGGCATTTACACCTGTGAAGACTTTCAGTGCTTTCGCATTTTATGACAGAAGCATTTCAATGTTTTTAATTTCAGGATTAACAGTTTTTTTCATATCATCTGTGTGTGTATCTTGATCTGGGTAGCTGCTGCATAAAGTTGGTATTCAATTGAACTCTCTGGCAAATTTATCCTATTTGTGTGTGTGTGTGTGTGTGTGTGTGTGTGTGTGTGTGCGCGCGCGCGCATCTTTGTGTGTTTACGCTTCTAAAAAAAACTTAAAATTGGACTTTGGGAGTGTATGAAATGAGAGTAGGATAACTGCAGCAGCCACAATGGACAAAATAATAGTTAAGAAAAATGACAAAATAGCTGTGGAGTTTTCACTTATTTATTACTTTATATTATACTTTATATTACTAGTGTGTATATTTCTGTCCCTTTGTATTTATTAATGCAGTAGCTGTCTTGATTATGTGTTATTGAGATAAATACTGCTGATTGCAAATTAAAAGCTGAAATGAGGCGTCCTATTACTACTAGGCTAAATATTTTATATTAAAACGGTGTGTGTGTGTGTGTGTGTGTGTGTGTGTGTGTGTGTGTATTTTCTGGCAATTCAGAAAATGATATAGTAGAGAAAATGTATAGCCTACTATAATATATTAAAAGTGCCAAAGGAAAAAAGTCATTTCCATCCAAACTGACTGTAGGCACCACTGACCATTATTCCTTGCAGGGAAGTTTTCGTTCAAGCTGCTCTGCAGCAGTACAGTGAAAAATTATCTTCTTTAATAGATTGTCAGGACCATAAAAGGCTGCTGTAAATGGTATAAAATCAAAAGGATCCCGAAAGGATTTAGAAATGATTTCCAGGAGTAATCAATTAGTTCCACACAGCGTGCTGCTGCTGCGTGGTCGCCTTTTTATGTGTATATGAGAAAGAGAAAAGTGTGTGGATTTTCCTAATATTCTTGAAGTGCAGTTAGTTTTACAAGCGAGTTAAAGTCACACACGGGGTCATCGGGGACGATGACAATCCATAACAAATCAAAAGTGAAATCAATAAATTTACCTGGAAGTTGGGGGAAGCCTTGATCTTCGTGTTTTAGCGAGTGGGTTTCTGGGGGGATAAAAAGAGAAATAATTACGAAAAAAAAATTAGACAGACTGAAACAGAAACACGTGAAGTCAGCAGTTCACCCACGTGAATGAAACCTCTCCCCACCTCTAGAAAATCCCTGGAAAACACCCTACCTGGGAAACCTGCCTACTAGGTCACTGATAGCCCCAAACTAGTCCAGCTTGTGTTCCGTCAGAGCTTTGCACCTGCAGCTTCACTGATTCTGCACCAGTGAGGTTTCAGAGATGCTGCTGCAGCAGTTCCACGTCAAATTACAGCATCTTGGAGACGGGTGTCTCACAGAACAGCCTCACTTGTTTCAGCACTTCTAACTTGCCACATAGTCATTCCCGTCTCTCGCAATGAATCTTATATTTTTACCTGTAGGATTCACTTTTTAAGTTTAGGTGCACAGGCATGGTTTCTGCACATAATACACCCCCTTTCGTGCCTTCATTTTGGGGGAGCAGCTGCCTGGACCTACTGTCCAGAGCCTCAGTGATGGCGCAAAATATATGTCGTCCTGTGCACGTGTAAAGTCTGTGTTTTTACTGAAAACTGTTCCCTGTACATTAGTTGTTATAAAAGTCCAAACGTAGTAAATAAACATTAAAACCTCTCTAGGGCTTTCGGTGACAACTGCAGTACTTTCATTATAATCCTAATAATGTAAAGCAATAATAAAAACATATAAAAAGTAGACATTCCCACTTACACGGATTAGGAAGGCCTTATGTAAGAGCTCCCCATGCTGAGTGTGCTGGCAGCATACTGTATAATCCCAGGCTGGAGGAAGCCGTGTTAGAGCCCCACGCTACTGGGTCCATGTAGAAATCACCGTTACTTTTTTACATGCTTTACCCCTCTGCTTAGCATTTTCGGTGCGTAATCTGTTGACAGCAAACAGGCCCATCATAACAACACAACACCGTGCTGTGAACGGTTGCACCGCACCGGCCACTCTTGACACTCCGACTACCACAGGCCGATAGACCCACTGCAACAATATAATCCTGGGTTCTAAAAAGGCTGTGTGTAGTAATATCTCTTCAGTTTGTGAACTGAAACGGTGGAAATGGTGCTGCATGAACTTATGTAATAGCTTAGGGCATTAACAATGAAGCATATAGCTGATCCGTGGTCAGCATTTCTAAAAAGACTCATATTTGAATTTAACTGAACTTTGCTTTATCGCAGACACTAAACATATATTGCTAAAGTGTTTGAAGTCAAGAAGCCCTGCTCATTCTGGGGGTCCTCTTTTAGTAAGATGTGGGTTAAACGGACTAATGGAGCGGGCGAGAGACAGGGTTTGACAGGGTGGAGGTAGATCATCATACTCTTGGTATGATGTTTTGCTCAGTATCTAACTGAAAACTAATCAAAAGGCCTTGTGTTAAACACATCTCCTGTGACCAGTCAAAGGTCACAAGCCTAAACCCGGTACTGAAGTTGCTGACTGACTTCATACTCCCATGGTCAAATTTCAACAGACCTTACTGGACAACACGTCTGGTGCCAGACAAAAGTGTTTGCAGCCACAAGTGAAACTACACGTCCGTGCTGCTGCCATGGGATGAGGCTGAGCCTTTATCTCAGATGCTGCATGCGCACCGTTCATTTATCTTAAAATGGCCTGAAAACAGAGCAAGGAAGGTTCGCTGGACAAACATTAAACAGCTGCTCCAGTTATAGGTCTTCTGTTATTTTACAATAGGGTTAACACACAGTACAGTATGTTGTAGCCTAAACGCGCCTAAGCTCCATATTTGGAGCTGGTTTTTGTTTCAGACCCGTATACAACAGAATCACTTATAATAAAAAACACCGTTCTTACTGTTTCCTCCTCAGATGCAGCAGGGTGGGTTACACAGGGTCTAGATGAGCTCTTGGTAACCAGCGGTCCCTCCGGACGCGCGGCATGCTGGGAGCCAAATGAGCGCATTCATGAACTGCGTATTGAGCTTTGTGGCGCCGGCGCATCGTGACGTCCCGTCGCCCCCGTCCATTTTTAATCTAACGGGTCCCCTTGTTTTTCCCTCGCATATCGTCACACGGCTGTCCTCCATATCCACAGCCCCGGTCTTCCCCTCCCCAAACGGGGAAGTTAGGGCTGTCCGCTTGGATGGCTACATCTCCACCACCGTTGTCTCCGAATAGTTTTAACACCTCATTTGTCCAAAATCATATACGCCGTCCAAGGCCCACCCACTTGTGAGTCAGTGAGATAACACTGTTCCCACCCTCAGAGATTTTTGATATTATGCAAGACGGACGATGTAATTATCACAAGGACCTATGCAGCGACTCTCACGCCCCCCAACAGACGCATGCAGAAATGCATGGCGGCACCATCGCTCATTCATTCACCAAACATCACCTTAATTCCTGTTAGGGTTTTCAGTCAGTGTGTTTCAGCCTCCTGGCTTACTTCTTCTGGTTCTGTGCTGTCCCTGTCTTTATACCTCCCCATAACACTCACCTATTTAGATGCCAGTTATTTTACGCCTACTTATCATGACATTTGTCATACTCCAAGGAACGCAACCTGTTTATAGGTCCACTGTGTTATAAAGTGCTCCTATTGCATGTTTTATAGCCCAGCATCATAAACATGTGCTTACACTATACGTTTTTGCTATCATATTTGCAGGCTAGTGTATTTTAAAGTTGATTGCAGGTCTATTTAAGGGAATTTATCCACTGTCGTTGTGCATCCTAACACAGAAAACTGTATAATTCCTATGGATATATGTTATTTGGTTGTATGGCTTCTTATCCAGTATTGAACTATCTCAAAGATGTTGGTGCCTGCAGCTGAAACATGTAGACAGACTTAAGAGGCTCCCTGGCTTGGCTAATTAACATAATAATCACACCAGAAATCTTTTGAATGCACTGAAAGGCGAATCTCTCAAATGTTATTGTATAGGGTCTCAATCTGTTTGTATGCATAACCTAGATGTTCTCATCATTTGCATTAAATAAGTTAACTCAGTCATGGTGATCTGTCTAGACTACATTAATGTGTGGAAATGCCTTTAGACCGCATAATTGTGTGTCTTTTGTACAACTACTGCATGAACAAACAGGCGTAGTCTATAAGATATATATATTTTTGGTAACACTTTCACCATTTAAAAAGAGTTTAACTAGCCTATATATTATAAGTCATTATTGTAATATTAATAAATCATTAAGAACAAGTTCTGAGATGCTATGAAAAGTTGACTGCCCCAAATCCCTTTGTTAATAACGTTTTAAACATTTATTAATGGATAACAACACTGAAACAATATAGAAAGCATAAACAGCAGTGCAGTGTTCTGATCCTTAATGTACCACAATATATATAGCAAACACCCCAAATGGTACTTAAGTAAAAGTATAGTAAGTAGTATCAGTAGTAAGTAATATCAACAAAATGTCAATTACATTTCAAAGTTAAACTCCATTATACATTCATATTTAGCACTTAAGAAACATACACTTGTGTAGTTTCTTTAAAATACATCATATTTTGTAAACGGGTAATATTTTTATGTTAAACTGTTTAAAATGAATTTGTGTAGTAGAATAAGCAGAATAAAATGGAAATACTCAAGTACAGTCCCAGTACCTCAAAACTGTACTTAAGTGTACAGTTCTGCACCAGTGCAAAGGATTTTTCACCGCCTGGTAAACGGCAGTTTGTTTTTATTGATGACATAAAACTGATCAATAAACCTTTAGTAAGTTATTTATTAACCATCAATACAGCCAGTTACACTCTATAAACCATTTATAGGCTCATTATATGTTTAAATGGGAAAAGTTCGAACATCTAATTACACCTTTTGTCATTATTATGAATTAGTGGCCTACCAATACCTTGTTGAGCACAGAAATATTTTGTGGCACATCCTCAAATTAACGATATGGAAACGAATACAAACTAATGTGAGTTCAGTCCGACACGTTTCTCGCTCGTTTAAAAAAACACTAGAATATAAAGTTTCCACACTGATGACTCAGTGGACAAACGAGGCGTTTCTCTTTCAGCTGTGGGAACCACGTCACTTTTACTGGTCTTTGGTGGTATAAGTTCATTACCAGAAGAGACTGGTCGCCGCGCGCACAGGCGCGTTCACAGCAACACTTACGCGCACCTTGTTACCAAGAAGCCATTGTGAGCGCTGATGGATCGTTAACAGTCTGAAAAGTAACACAAACACATGTGTGACTTTTATTTTGGCTACTTTAAGTCGGGCTAAAGATTTAGGCTACGTTAATCAAGTCACATGTGGGCTAAATTTAAATGCCCTCAAATAATCAACTGGTTGCCTTTTCTTAGACCCTTAAGGAAAAACTTAATCAGAAACAATGTGAGAAACTTCTGAAAGACTGTAAGAGGATGTCCTTCTTCCAGCACGGATGGAGATGCTGAGCTTCACAACAGAAAGAAGTAGCTCCTTATTTTTCTGGCCAGGGAAGAATATTGGTAACTTCTTACCCAGGACTCCCGTTAGATACGTTTTAAACCCGTTTTTAAAGAGGAACCAGTCGTAAATAATATGGTGCTTGTTATTTTTATATTTTATGTATCGTGTTTTGTCGGTTGTTTTTGACTTGTGCTGTTTTGTGCGCGTTTTCTCAATGAGCTGGTGCCATGTAGGCCTGTTAAGCTTTGTGTTCTTCTGTATGCGTTTATATACGTTAAAGACCTGTAGAAATGGATGTTTAAGATGTGTATTTAAATGTGGCATTGGCTCATGCTTGTCTCTTTACCAGAAACATGCAACTTTGATATTCAGTGTAGAGGAACAGAAATGCAGTACAACCAAGAATTACATAAGCACCAACGCTACAATGTAGGCATCATATGACTGCCAAGACCCAGAAACGATCAGAGCTTGTAGCAGAATTTCAATAAACCACCAATGACCTTTAAAATGTAATTGTTAGGCAATGCATTCAAGTTTCAATCATGTGTTCAGGTGTTTAGCTGAGTACCACAATGTAAAGTCAGTCTTTTTGCTTTCAAAATTAAAAGCATGGAAGTATTAGACCTGCCAGAAAACAGGCCTACCTAAAATATCAAAGTAAAGTGCTCTTTATGCAGACAAAAGTCCCCGTGAGCGTCAGAAGCCGATTGGACATACATAACTAATACATTAGTTAAATGTAGGAGCAGCAATTGCTGGTGAAGACGGAGATAATAAATAATTACCATTCTATGCATACTAATAATTACTGATTCATGTTACAGCGTCTGTTAAAACACTTGCATTTAACTTCACTGTGTTATCTAGAAGTGGTTTTAGGTCTACGGGTTTGGTAACGACAGAATCCAACTTGTGACGCCATTGAGCCCTTGATACTTGTAACGCGTTACTCAGGCAGTGAGAAGCAGTCAGTTTTATGACCTGTGGGTCCCTGTTTGTCTCAGACCTTCCGACAGCAACAAACCACCCTCACCATCACTGCATTGTTTAACTGCTGCCAACCCAGACGCCACAGAGTGCTTCGGTGTGTAGAGATGTGGCGTATGTATAGCGCAAAATCCGCTTTTACGCACGCCGAAAGGCAACACGTCAGTACAGCTGATGTATGCAAACCTCCCTCGTTATTATTGTACATATATGCCATAATACTTTTGCATAACCAAAAAGATTCGGTGTGTATATTTGTGCCTATGCATGCATGTATTCAGACCTGGCACTCGTTCTCCCGTGTCGCGCCAGCATTCAAAGTGGGATCCTCTGAATAAGGGCTTAATGAGACATGGTGGTGTATAATAAATGAAAGCGAACAGCCTACTTCATCAGTTTGAAGGAATGCTGCTGAATTACTGGAGTTACCTCAGAAATGTAGCGTTTTTAGAAATAAGAGGGTTATTTTTGCATGTTAAGGAAATCACACGTGGGTTTGTTTGCATGTTAAAAGATTACAAATGGTAGCTGATCATCAGAGCAGAGTTTAGTGGAGTGATGTATGGCTGGTGGATCAGGGTGAAGATGCTGTATTATCACCTCAGATGACTATATCAATTGAACTGATGCTCTCAAGACCACCAGCAAGCTCTCCCTCACCTTCTGTGGTCAGAGGATGTAAAATGCTGCAAAGTTTTTATGTTATGTTCTTCTTATTGCATCATAGTTCACTGTTCTGTGAAGTCAGCAGACTGACTCTTAAGTTTCCCTGGGATGTAAAATCTGACACAGTTTCCCAGGCAATGAAGTGTTAGCACACAAGTGAAAATTTAAATTCTGGTTCTTGTTAAGTCTTCCATGTCAGCACTCTCAGAGCTGTTTCTCTTTCTATTTAAGAGAGACATCCAGGCCCAACTAGAGGCTGAAACAATGCAGATTTCTGTCTGTGCCCACTCATAGCTGACAGTTCCTGAATAAGAATCAAAATGAGTCCTTGTCTTCACTGCCAGTTACAAAATAGGTTCACAATTTTCAGATTGTATAGGTATGTACATTTAAACAAATAATGCTCACTGTGACCATTCAGACAGGCTGTTAACACATCCCTAATTAATGTGTTAATGTCAGTGATGGGCAATAAATGGCACAGTGCTCATTCAGAAGGATAAAAGAAAGAGAAAAACATTTCTGATATGGACATCTGACTACACCTTTACTGTGAGATAGGCACAGAACAAGCTGAGACCATGCAGTGCAGCTGCATTATATTCCCATCCTGTAGCTGATTAAAAGAAAAGTTTAGCCTATATTTCAAAGTAATTTACTTTCAGTATAAGATATTGTTATTATTGTGAACTCAAACAAAAAAGAAATGAAGCTGAAGGTAATGTTAGTTTAGGTTTCATTATGGACCCATCTCTTTGAGTGTGTAAGGCAGGAGTGTTTTGAAACGGTTTAGCCTATGTGTGCATCACCTGTAGGATATACAGACGTTCATATTTTATAAAATAATACAACTTTCAGGTCGTCACAGTTAAAACATGAAAAATGGAGAAACAGTTATTTCCATTGTCACTGAGGTGTGAACAATGCAACTTCTCAAATTGTATAAGGTGGGGAAAAGAAATAAAGAATATATTTCAAAAGCAAAATTTCTGTCTCACTCATAAAGTCTGGACTTTTTTTTTCGTCTATTTAATCATTTGGTTTGCGAATCCAGCGTCATCGTGGATATTAACGCTACAAAAAGAATCATGACAGGTATAAAAAAAAAAACAAATGAAGTAAGGAGCTGAGGGTCATGATTAGTGTAA